GGGAAGCATATAGTCACAGTTAACTGTTGTCATGAATATGTAATATAATGCTGACTACATTATAAGAAACTAACCCAAAGAAGGGAAGGAAGGGACCGGGATGGACCAGTGTCCAAAGCGTGTATGAGTAGGGTACTATGATCAATCTGTGCTCCTGAGGTCCACATAAAACTTTCCAGTTGGTGCTTGTATGCTGAACCCTGGGTGCAGGTGAACTTGGCCTTCCCAGCGCTTGCTCTGGCAGGACCCGGCCGGTCGTGCGCTCCCGCTGGCCGCCAGGGGGCGCGCGCTGCCCGGGGAGGCCGCGTGGCTCGGTGCCGGGGCCGCCACCTGCGCCGTGCGGTTTTGTTTTTGCAACAGGACCGCAGGGCCCAGCTGGGAGGAGAGGGACCCCACAGCAATCAGGAGCAGCTGTTGGCAAGGGACTCCGGGGTCCCCAGGGAGGGCCTCTGCCCCGCGTTGCTCCACTTCGGGAGGAAGCAGCTGGCTGCGCAGCGGGCCGGGCGCTCCTGGCGTGGGGGCTTCTGCCTACTTCCCCACCTGTGCTGGAGGTGGCTCTGCATGACGGAAACCCGGCCGCTGGCTGCCGGTACCCCAGACAGGTTTGGTTTGGCCGAAGTGTAGAGTTTCTTTGGCAACACTTACAAATTGGGAAATGTTTCGTCAGAAAATCCAGATTTGCGTTTTTCTGGGTCGCCGGGGCATGTGGCAGCGCCTGGCCAGCCGCCCCTCCACATGCACGAGCTCAGCCTGCCATTCCTTGGTCCCTTTTTTCCAGCTCTTGCCCCTACTCAGAGCCCAGCAGGCAGCCCTTCACCTGCTGACAGCCCGTCTCTTCTGCACGACTCTGTGGAGTTAATTATGGTTTTCTTCTATGTACATAAAAAGGACAATAAAAGCCTAACAATCTACCAGTTGCCTCAGTCCCTTTGTGACGTCCAGAGGCACCGAGCATTCTGTGCTCCTTTCCGTGAGGAAGTCCTCTAGGTGTCGCCAATCTCCTCCACCTGCGCGGCTGCCCGGGCAGTCTACCTGGCGCCCGGTGACAGCCTGGATGCTTCTTACGAGGCAGGCGGTTCCAAACTTTTTTCCCCTTGATAGTTGTTTCAATTTAGGGCCTTCCATTTGCTAGGCAAGTGCTTGAGTCACACAGCTCAGCTCAAACTTTTAAAACATGTTAATTTTTTTTTTCAGACAGGGTCTCCTTATGTATGAATTCCAGGAGTTCTTTCTTTTTTCTGTTTTTGGTGATGCTGGGATTTGAACTCAAGGCCTCAGACTTGCTAATCAGGTGCTCTACCACTTGAGCCACACCCTCAGCTCCAGGAGTTCATGAGTTCCAGGATTGCCTGGAATTCTGATCCTCCTGCCTCAACCTCCTGAGTGCTGGGATTGCAGGTGTGGGCCAAACAGATAAGGTTTTAATTTTTTTTTTTTTTTGAAGAAAAGCCCTCTTTTCAATCTAAATCATACATGAAACTCCATTATATAAAGCAGATCTGGCATGAGTGTCAATTATTAATTTGCAATGAGAGCATTCGCTTATTGTAGTCAGTCCAAAGAACAAAAGGATGCGAAAAGCCCCTCGTGGAGAGTGGGGTGGAGTGAGGAGATTGCAGCTGAGGCCTTCTCTGTGGGCTTGTCCCAAAGCCATGTCGGTGTGCAGCAGGGAGAAATCAGACTCCCCAGAGGCAGAGGTGGGTTTCCAGCAGCAGGCCTCACGCTCTTGGTGCAGTCTTCAACTACAAGGAGGCCTGACAAGGTAAGGGGCCCTGTTCTGAAGGTAACAAGGTAAGGTGTCCTGGGCTGGAGATACCCAGCCTTGGTGTTGGCTGCCGATGGCTGAATGGCATGAACTACATGCGCTCTGATATCCGAGTCCCGGAAGCCATCTCGGAAAGCTCACAGGGCGTGGTGCAGGAGCCATGAAGAAGGGGGAAGTGGTGTCGCTGAGGAAGGCCCCTGAGGAAGGCCCCAAAGACCCGCTGTTTGCATGGCTACGGAAGTCTGCTTATATGCTATAAGTGGGGGAAGGGCAGGGGATGGACAACCCTAGTTCTCTGTGCCCATATCAGGGCCTAAGAGGGAAGCTGGTTGGCACAGGTGGCTCCAGCTCTGCTTTGCTGTTCTACCTCATAGGTCCCAGGTGGGGTGGTCACAGGCCAGGCCTAGCTCTACCACTAACCTCACTTCCATTTGGCTTTCTCCTTGGGCCTCCCTGTCACACTGCTAGTACCTTCCAGGGTGATTCTCTTGCAGGGCCCTCAAAGACAGGAGCGGCTCTGTCACTACAGGCCACCTCCTATAGAGAGAATCATAGTCACCACCTTCAGCAGTCTTTCTTGTCTTGAAGCTGGTGAGAAAACATCCAGGGCAGATGCTTGCCACCCCCTCCACTCTATCCCTTCCCCAGGCAGCTGGCCACAGCTGGCTGCTGTGGTGGAGGATGTGAGCAGACCAGCTGTGGGCTCAACTCTTGGTGTCCCTTGTTGTCCCAGGGACCAATATCCTTTGCGGGGGCCTTGGGCTGCTGCTATAGGCTAAGGAGGCTGCCGGTCCTTAAGGCAGACTCTAGACACTCATCTCCCTCCACATGGGCCCAGCCTTCCCTCCTCTCGTCTGCACCTGACCCTCCTGGCACAGGAATTTGAAAATGCCAAGGCGGTGGAGGTGCTTCTTAAATGGAGTCTTCCTCCAAACCAGGGAAAGGGACTACTCCAGATATCTCCCAGCTCGTGACCCTTCTCATCTCCTAGTGAACTCTGCCTCAGATCCGCACCCAGCCCAGAGCATCTTCAATATCAACAGTGCCTCACAAGCGTCAGGGTGCACACTTGGATTGTTCTGCCTGTCAGTGTCCGTGGGGCTTGGGATTCCATCTTTCTAACCAGCTCTGGTGCCCCTGTGGCTAGACCATTTTGTGGACAAGGCTTAAAAGATTTCTCTCTCCAAATGCAGACCAATTTCATCTCAGCTTCTTGGAGGAAGGTTGCCCAGCTCTTCCAGTGAGGACTCAACACCTGGGTTCTGATGCTATCCCTCTGTGGGGCAGCTACATAGCATTGGTCACTGGCCTTGATAGTCCTAGGGTTGAGGCTGAGCCCAGGGTCCCCTTCTGCTTGCTGTCACCAGGATCCTTAGCTGCCAGCCAAGATCTCCAAGGACTGTAAGGTGCTGGCCCTGTCCAAGGTTGTCCCTGAGTGGCTGAGGAGGCACGAGGCTAAAAGAACTGGAGGAGCAGAGGGTCTGAAAACCACTGCTGTATGTGGAAAGTGAAAAGCCAACATTCCCTCAGCAGGCCAGGAGGAAGTGGGTGGACCTCTGGGATGACCAGAAGGTCATCCTCAGCCCACTCCATCACTGTCTTCTCTTCCTCTTGACTTTCCCCTTGGTCCTGCCACACTGCCAGCACCCCTAGGTGCTGCGGGTATGTTAAGCCACCTAGACTCCTACAAGGGTTCCATCACTGCCTGGTATCCCCAGTGTTTCCCTCCTGAAAACTGCCCCCAACCCTTCAGTCCTGACTTCAAAGGAGTTTAAGGTCCAGGAAAGTAAAAGCCAAGATGTTTGTTTTCTAGCAGCTCAAACACCCCTCTTAACTTCCCCAGACAGTAAATCACTTCTGCAATATTAGGCTGTCTTTTCCTGTCACTCTGGTATCTCTTTGGGGATCAAGGCTGGAAAGACTGCTGTCATATGAGCTTGTGGCTATGTTGAATTCCACAAGGTCACAAGGCAGGTAACATGGGCTGATTTCTCTCTAGGCACAGAACTAAGGCTCACGTGATTGAGAACTGAGATTGTCTGGGCAATGTCACTGGTAAATGGCAGAACTGGGGCCCAAACACAGGTCTTGTGACTTCCAGCCTGGTTTTCTCCTGCCACCCTTAGCTCTGTTTGCTTAAACATTGGCTTCCTGGTGCTGGTGGCATGGCCTCCTTTAAAACAGAAGATGGTTTATCAGACCTCAGTATCCACAAAGCCTCCGGGACCTGCCCCACCTCCCACCCAACCTTCTAGTCAAGCAGCTGCCTCTTCAGCCAAGCCATGTGCCAAACATGCCACCACTTCTAGTCTGACCTCACTAGCTCTGAGCTCTTCTTTCATTCCTCCCTGAGCACACTCCTCCTGTTGCATCCTCACTGTCTGTCTCCTGCCTCTGCAGTCTCCCTCAGGGGCCACCTACATGGTCCTCAGTGAGCCCTCAAGATCATGACACAGGCCCCTGGCCTCACCTGCCAAGGCCCTCCTCTGCCAAGTCCACTCCATCCGTTGCTCCTGGATGCTGCCCAAACCAGGACTGCTCAGCCAGCTCCTGCTCCAAGCCACCTGAGATGCAAGGTGCCTCTCTTGGCACCACTGAGTCCACCTCCCAAGATAATAACCTGCACAGGTCTCAATGCAGGTCCAGCTGACCAGCATCAGCAAGAGCAGCCCAGGAGCTGCCTCTGCATAACTTAAGCAGCACTTTGCACAGGAAAGGATGGGGGACTGAGGGACAAGCAGGCCTGGACTCTATGCCTAGCTCTCCCACAGGCTTTCCCTGTGTTTGGGAAAGGAACCCCAGGTTTCCTCATCTCTGCCCAGAAGCGCTGTAATCACTGCTCACTGTGACCATGAATGTTCTGTCTTTGCACACAGGGTGACTCACAAACATTTGGTGCATCCCCCTTCCTCTTTGTAGCCAACCAAGCATCTGAAGTCCAGGGAATCAGTGAGTTTAGGACAAGAAGATGAAATGTCAGAGTGTGACCATGACCTATAGATTCCTCCCAAGCCCCTTCCCAAATGAGCAAGTTCATATGGGATAAGAAGAAAGACACAAATACAAATTTAAAATTGCACCCATTTACCTAAAACCCAACCCATTGCCATCGCCTTCCCCTCCTCCAAGAAAAAAAAGAAAAGCAAAAAACAGAAGTGGCTCAGAAAGAAGCACACCGAGCATGGGGTAGGGCCATGTTTCAGGCCCAAACTCAGAACTCGAATGCAAAGGCCTATTTTGCAGATTTCTAGTTGAATATTTTATTAAAAACCACACAAACACACACGCAACGGTGACGAAGTCAGAGGCAGGAAGGAGTCAGTGGGCTGACCACATGGCGTTTCTGCAGGTGTCCTCACCCTAAGGAAGTGTCTTCAGGTCGAGATTGACAAGTCAGGGATGGCTTTGCTTTCGTGAGGACTCAGGCAGCTTCGCTCCCCTGGAGGATGTGGAGGACATGCAGAGTGCCTCTCTGCAGAGGACTCAGAAGCCCCTCCATGGTGCTCTGTGGGGTCACCAGTACCTGAGGTGTCACTAAGAGCAGGAAGGGAGGGACAGGTTTTCCTTGAGGCTGCTTTCCTTTCCCAGAAGGGGAGGAATGATCTCTAAGGAAGACAGGATCAAAAGGGTCCAGCTGGCTCAGGAACTCAGGGCATCTTGACCAAGTGAGAGGAAGGTACGGGCCTTCCTGGTGTCCACCAGCCTGTGCGGGAACTGGCACAGGAATACAGTCCAGAAGTCATGCTGGGGCCTCCTGTGGGTCACCCCTACTTCCTGCAGGTCCTCTCCAGGGCCTGAAGACTGTGGCCTCATCAGGCAGATACATCTTCAGAAGGAAATGGCAAAGTCAGGTTTGCTTTCTAGGGATGAAGCCACCCAGAAGCCCAGGCTCCACCCCAGCTCTGCTCTGGGCTCTTCCTTCCTCCACCCAGCACCAACTTCTATTGGGAATATTATAATTTAAAACAAATTTTTTTTGGCAGTACTGGGGGTTGAACTCGGCTTTGCGCTTGCTAGGCAGGTGCTGTACCACTTGAACAACTCCATCAGCACTTTGTGTGTTGGTTATTTTATGTTCGGGCTGGCCTGGACCACAATTCTATTTGTGCTTTCCTGCATAGTTGGGATGAGAGGCACATTCCACAGCACCCAGCCATTGGTTGAGATGGGGTCTCACAAACTATTTGCCTAGACTGGCCTTGGATTGTGATCCTCCCAATCTCAGCCTCCAAAGTAGCTGGGATTATAGACGTGAGCCACTGGTACATGGTTTCCAGTGTGGTTTTTAAAATGAAAGAAAGAAACAAAAGAAGGAAGCTCTGGCTTAAAGAAAGAAGTGGATTAATTAAAATGATTTTAGGCTTTCAACAATCTAAGAACTTATTCTAAAGATAAAAACCTTAGAGATGTGGATAGGATCTATTTGCAAGGAAGTTCATTACAGTGCAGTTTAATGACAAATAATTAAAAACAGAACAAACATTAATGCCTTCAAATAGGAGACAAGTTAAATAAACTGTATTACAGTCAGGCAGAGTCAGTATAACAGTACAGAGCCATTAAAAATGGTGAAGAGCTGGGTGTGGTTGCTCACACCTGTAATCTTAGGTACTGAGAGGCAGTGATCGGCAGGATTGAGGTTTGAGGCCAGTCTGTACAAAAAAATCTGTTGAGAATTCCATCTCAACCAATAAAAGCCGGGCACAGTGGCACATGCCTGTCATCCCAGCTATGTGAGAAGCATAAACAGGAGGAGCTGGCCTGAGCATAAACATGAGACCCTACTGGAAAAATAAGTAAAGCAAAAAGGGTTGGCAGTGTGGCTCAAGTAGTAGGAAAAAAAAAAAATCCCTGATGACGCTGGGAAAATGTTTGAAAGGTAGTTAAGAAAAAGAAAAAAAAGCTGGTTAAAATAGCACAGAGAGTGGGGGCTGGGGAGGTGGCCCAAACAATGTATACACATGTGAATAAATGTGAAAACGATAAAATAAAAATAGCTCAGAGAATATGATTTTTTTTTGTGGTATGAGATTTGAACTCAGAGCCTCCACCTTGCTATTTTGAAAGGTGCTCTACCACTTGAGCCATGCCTTCAGCCCTATGATCCTAAGCAAAGATCTATTTTCAAAGAGGAAACACTGGGAAGATAGGTACCCAAGTACCATTTTTGGATAGTGTGATGACAGATGGCTTTTACTTAAAAAAAAAATCTTTTTTACCTGTATTTTCTGAAAGCTCTATACTTTATTCCTGTCACTAGGGAACTTCTTTCAAGAATGCTCTTGCTATCAGAGGCTGGAATGTCAGGGCATCTCCGGGCACGTGGAGATGAGCATGAGGGCAGGTGTCTGGGTTCCACCCTTCCTTCTCCAGCCCTTGCTCTACCTCCACTCTAGATCCCTGTGGGCCCAGCATGGCGGTGGCAGAGGCATTCCCCACTGTACAGTCAGGGACGAGCTTTCCTCCTGCTCTCGAGCCCGGGGCCTTTCGGAGGCGCTCTGAGTGCAGATAACTGGAACTCACCTGTTGACTGGGTTACACAAGAGATCTTGTAGGACAGCCACAAACTTGCCAGGCAGAGGAAGGTGGCCACAAACCCAAAGATCTGCAGTGGAGAGAGGAGAGGAAGGTCACAAGCCACAGGGCCAGCACTTGGGCTGTCCTCCTGATTCTCATCGGTGTGCCTGTTTCCTGTTCTGTCTGCGGCCAGAAGGATGCTTGGGGAGTCATTTGACCCAACTGCCATGTCCCCGCTTAGGTACAGAGATGAAGCCTGGAGAGGCCCTGTCACCAGCCTGTGTCCTCTGGTCATGCCTGGCACCTGAGCCTCTGGGTCTCCCCTCAGCCCTCATCACTCTAGGCAACAGCAGTGCTCAGGATTGGGTTTAGGTTTATAACTGAGTTGGGGACCATCCTACTGGACTTTGGACTAAGAAATAAGGAAAAGCTAGAATTGTACATTTTAATTTGGGTTTAACTGTTTTTAATGTTCCAGTGGATTTTATTGCTGTGGTGGCGTTGTTAGCATTTCATTTGTAAAGGCTCTCTGTTCTCTTCTGGCTTCACAGCTATGGCAGTCAGAGGCTGAGGCTGTGTGTCTAGTTTCACGTTTGCACACACACATTTACATAACGTCATGGTTCCTCTCTCAGTGCCCATCCAGGGCTAGCATGTGAGGAGGGCGATCTAGCCCAGCCGAGCTCCTCTGTAGAGGAGGAGCAGGTACCTGGACAGGAAGAGGGCCTGTTCAGATCACAACCCTGGTGTCTCAGCAACCGTGAGGCCTCTAGCCAAGTTCCCTACTTGTGACCAACACTGGCAGCTGTGGCACCTGCAACCCATGAGCAGTCACTACACTGCCTGGCTCCTCAGCCTTTAGGGGAGCTGACTGCTTGAACTTTATAACTCTGTAAGCTGGGGGGTGGTGCCCCATGTCACAGCTGAACAAGTGGATGGACAGGAGGTCAACTATTTTGCCTAAAGCCACAGAGCCACCCAGGGCAGAAGGTCTGAGTGAGGGGGCTGCTCCAGGCCCCACACTCTGCTGGACTGTGGCCCAGGTGTTCTCAGATGCACAACAGGCCTGAGGGTCTCCATGCCATTCAACCACACAGCTGCAGTCAGTCATCAGCTGATGTCCCGTGGAAATGCCCCAGGAGCAGCCAGAGGGTAGAATTTTCAAGATTTACTTCTCCAGCCCAGTGCTGATTTGCACAAACAGAACCCCTCCTCCCTAGAGCCGCTTCCTTGGCTCCCTTTGTTCCAATTGTCTGCACTACATAATTAACCATCGGAGCCTGCCCTGGCCTGGCACTGTCCCTTCTGCACAATCAGCACATCACGCGCCATCCAGGCTCCGACAGTCTGCACTGCATAATTGAACACTTATCATCAGTTCGCTACAGAATGCCAGTCTAGATGGCAGTGCCTCGTTTGCTAATTGGTGTGTGGTCATGTGTCAACTCATGACCGCTTTCTCATGAGCAACGACCATATTTTGTTTTATTTCTCTGGCTTCCCTGTGGGGAAGGTGCAGAGCTACTGTATGACAAACGTTATCTGTTGGGACTCCAGGGCTGTCACAGCTCTGTAAAACCTGATTCTAAAGCTTCGTGTGAATCTCCCCGTGTGCCTTGAAACACGGTGGGCAGGAATTCCGCTGTGCCTCTCCCACCAGCCTGTACTGTTGGCCAGGTGCTGACCTGCAGGTGGCCACCACCGGTCTCCTCAAAGGCTGCACAGGGGCAGGGGAGGTGCATTAGGGGGCATCTGTGTTTGGGGGCTCGGCCAACCCTCTGCCGTGATGTTTGTTCCCTGTGTGACCTTCACAGGAGAGACTCCATCTCTTAATGAAATTTCAAGAGCAAATCTGCTCCCAGGCGACAGTGGAGAACTTTGGTGATGTGTATAAGTGAAATTCATGCAGTACTTTTCTTAAAAATCTCACCTGCTCATCAGTGAAGCAAATCAGTACTGGCCCACAGGTCACTCAACTATTATGTTAGTTAAATCAGAAACCAGATGACAGGAATCTATGAATCTTTAAAAAAATAATGTAGCCATATATACACATGGCCCTGTCTTTTTGTACAGTTCCAGCTATTTCTATTCATGGCTACTGGATTGGATCAATTTTTACCTCTGAAAGGTGCAGCAATATTACTTCCTGGCCTGGATACTCTTAACAGTCAAGCATGGCAAAGCTAGCACCATGCAGCTGTCACTAATCACAGTGTCCTCCCCTCCCCCATGGACCCAAGAGGCACCAGATCGTCCTCTGCTTAGTTCTGAGGCAGCCACAAGCTGCCTGATTTAAGTAGTGGCTATAAGAGAGATAGGCCTGGGCAACTGGGGTCTGAATTTGCCTACCTCTGACAATCCACCTTCCGGGACCCTCTGCTGTGAGCCTGAGTGTCAGGCTCTTGGGAGACAGCAGTCACTAGATCAAGGTAGGTATGGATTCTATGAAGAAAGGCCCCAGAAACCAACCCCTTCCCTGCCCCCACCAGGAAGAAAATGCACGTCTGAGTCGTGAGTTTGTTCTTAAGGGCTCGGAGAACATCCTCACCGCTCCAGCTACCAGTCCGCTCTGGTTGTAACTCTTGGAGGCTGCCACCACGGAGGCGATGAGGAGGAGCAGGGTACCGATTAAATAGTGCAGCAGTTCCTGGGGGCAAAACACAGCAAAGAGGTGGGTGGGGAGGTCACTCCCCATTCTTAGGGAGCACCTGGAATCAGAAGAGATGGCAAGAAGGGGACAGGGTGATACTTCCTCTTCGCTTTTGCAACACTTAAGCAGGAGAAGCCTCACAGATCACAGGCAATGATGCAGAAAGCTGGGCCAGGAAGAGGCCAAGCACAAGAGAAATGATGGCAGGCAAGCAGAAGAGAAGGGGACTCAGAGAAAGGAAACTTGGGTGAGGAGAGATACCCACTCAGGACAGTTCCACTCTTGACATCAATTGGCAGATCCTGACCTTTCACTAAGAAGTGAGATTCTTCCAATTCCCAGGATGGAGAGTGAAAACAAGACTCCAACTCCAAACAACAAACTTCCTTTTCTGACAGCTGCACAGAAAGTTCTGGACTAATAGTGTGCTGCCTTTGTGTGGCTGACCACAGACTCTTCCCACTCTTCCTACACTTGAAAGACCTGGTTTCTCTTTAGTGACCAGAAAGGGATCGCACAAGGCGGGCCACAGGAATTTGACCAAAGAGCAGATCAGCAAGTGGAAGTCCTCCACTCCAGCATTCTCACTCACACCAAAGTAGGAGGACGACACGGGACAGAGAAAACTGACATGAGAGATTCCTCCCTTGTGCTTGTCCTCTGGCTTTTATTCTTTCCTGTGCGTGTTTGCCAAAGGCAGCAGGAAGCCCAGACCAGCTTATTCTCAAAGGAAGTGGAAAAGTGCCATCACCGTGAAGGGTCTGGACTTTGCACCTGCTAGGCAGGGGCTCTACCACTGAGTTACCTCCCCAGCTATGAAGGGGCCTTAGAACCTAAGAACATAAAGGAATTTCTTCCAAAATAACATAACATTACACGGAAATGACTAAACAATCTGATCGAGAGGCAGAGGTTGTCAGACTGTTTATTCAAAGAAATACACAAACTCAAGATCTAACACTCTCTCATGATAAACGCACTCAACAAAGCAAAACAAGAAGGAACTTCTTCAATCTGACAAAGGGTATCTATGAAAACTCACACCTATGTCATACTTAAGGATGAAAGATGGAGGCCTTCCCTCCTAAAATCAGGGAAAAGACTATTGTCTGCTCTTGCCACTTCTGTTCAACAGTCAGCTAACTTATTCAGCTAATTGCCTGCAATAAGGAAAGACAAGGAAATGAAAGGTATCTAGACAGCCAGGAAGAAGTAAAACTGTCTCTACTTGTAGGTAACATGATCTTGCATATAGAAAATCATAAGAAACTCTAAAACTCTATTAGAACTAATAAGGAAGTTGAGTAAGGTTTACAAATCAACGTAAAAAATTAATTATGTTCCTGGGCTGGGGACATGGCTCAAGTGGTAGAGCACCTGCCTAGCAAGCAGGAGACCCTGAGTTCAAACCCCAGTACCGCTAAATGTATATATATATATGTATATATATATATTCCTATACACTTGTAATAAACAATCTTAAGATGAAAGTAAGAAATAAATTCCATTTGAAATAGCATCAGAAAGAATAAATACTCTGAAAAGTACAAAATGTGATAATGGAATAGCCTCCCATATTCAGGGGTCATAAGATTCAACACTGTTAGGACGGAATATTGTCAAGATGGTTAGGATGGAATTCTTCCTAAACTGACCCATGGAGTCAATAAAATGCTATTAGAATCCCAGCTGGTTTCACTATAAAAAATGAAAGCTGACTGTAAAATTCATGCAAAATTGCAAATGATCCACAGCAATACTGGAAGTGAGCAAATTGGAGGGCTCTTCATTTCACAACTTACGAAAATGGTACAGTAAAAGATAGCGTGGCTCTGGCAGAGGGACAGACATATAGGTCAATGGAATAGAGCTGAGAGTCCAGAACTAAGTCCATGGATTTATGGCTAATTGATTCCTGACAATGGGGCCAAGGCCACTCACTGGGGAGAGAGCAGTCTTTCCAACAGATGGTGCCAGGACAACTGGATGTCCAGTGAAAAACAGTGAGCTGAATGCTTCCTCAGGCCATATGCAAAAATTTACTCAAAATAGACCAAAGGCTTAATTTTAATGATAAGAGCTAAAGTTGTAAAACTATTAGAAGAAAAGAGAGGCAAATCTTTATGACCTTGATCTTGGTAATAATTTCTTCAATAATGGAACCAAAAACATGAGCAAAAAACAGATAAAGTAGATTAATAAAAATTAAAACATTCTTTAAGGGACACTATTCAGTAGTGAAAAACAGCCAATACAATAGTGGAAAATATTTACAAGTCCTATACCTGATAACAAACTTCTATGTAGAATACAGAAAAACTCTTACAGTTCAATAATAAAAAGATGACCTAATTAGAAAATGAAGCCAGGCTCCAGTGGCTCACGCCTGTAATTGTAGCTACTTGGGAGGCTGAGATTGGGAGGATCACAGATCAAGGCCAGCCTGGGCAAACAGTTCAAGAGACCTCCAGCTCCAAAAATAACCAGAGCAAAATGGACTGGAGGTATGGCTCAAGTGGTAGGGTTCCTGCTTTGCAAGCGTGAAGCCCTGAGTTCAAACCCCCAATCCCACCAAAAAGAAAACAAAAACAAGAAAATGCTCTAAATAGACATTTCTTCAAAAAAATACAAATGGTCAAATGGTCAAAAAGTACATGTGCTGGGTGTGGCTCAAGTGGTGGAGCACCTACCTAGCAAGCACAAAGGCACTAAGTTCAAATCCCAGTACTGCCAAAAAAAAAAAAAAAAGCACCCTTAGATACATACCCAAGAAAAATGAAAATTACAGGTGGTGGGGCACACCTGTAATCCTAGAATTAAATTCAGAAGATTCTGAATTTTTATTTATGCTGTGTGGTTTTTTTGGTGGTACTGGGGTTTGAACTCAGGGCTTTATGCTTGCTAGGCAGGAGCCCTTACTGCTTGAGCCACTCTGCCAGCCCTCAACAAAGCTTTTTAAAAATAATATAGCGTGAAGAAAAACCTGGCAGCTTCTGACTTTTTTCCTCACCTCTGCCAGGCCATTTTAGCCATCAAATCTTACCATTCAGCTGTCACAGAAGCTATCAGCTCCTTTCTTCCATGTTCCTCCCCTCAACTCTCTCACACAGCCCCTTCCTTCTCTGTCACTCAGGGGAAATAAACGTTGAGGTGAGAGGCTGAGCATTCTGCAGCTGTATTTAGAAACTGACAGGACACCAGGCAGACTCCCCCAAATGGTGGGGCATTCAGAGCTGATGCAGGAAAGAGCGGCTGGCAGAGGGCAGGCCATCCCCACTTACCGACAGGGGCCAGCTGATGCAGGTGAGCACGCGGTAGAACCGGAAGAGGTGGATCAAGTAAAAGGCCAGGATCATGATCAGGTCGCAGATGGTGACCACCTCAAAATAGCTGTAGGCACTGTAGTCCGTCCACGCAGAGCTCCGCACGCAGGTGAAGGCGACTAGCAGAGTGACCTGAGATTTAACACAGACACCTCAGAGAAATGTCTGTGTGCAACAGGCACCTGGGGAGCAAACCACAGAGAACCAGCCCAGTGTCACCCAGGCACGGCCACAGGTCAGGTTATTTCCACAAGTTGGCCAGAGGGTGGAAGGATTTTATTTCATGCAGTACAAGCTGTTAAAACACATGCTGGCTGTGAACACCGATGACTGCAGTGATGAACTCTGTCCTCTCTGAAGGCCGTTACGTGGCGCCGGCAGGACATCTTGGAAAGGAGCAGGATAACAGCAAAGCAGAACCACTCTGTTTCTCTGCTGAAGCTCTTCAGAGCAAAGAACTGACAGTGCGATGCCGGCCCAGCTTCTGCACCAGGTGGAACTGTATGAGCCCCCAACGTTCGCTGGCTAGGCTACGAAGATGACAATTGGAACCCCTCAGCCTATCAGCCCCCAACAAGTTACCAGTGACTGGTGTGTGGCACATGTGATCACAATGAGCCAGATAAGGTCACCCCCCCATTTTCATATGGGGAAACTGAGGCGCACAGATCCAAAAACAGTCCAAGTGACCAAGCTGTAAGCAGTAGAGGTGGATTTGCTCCCTGAAACGTAAGCCCTCACTACAAAACAAGCAGAGGACAGTGGGCATCACATCAACCATGTGGGAATCCTGGCTACGAGGCAGGATGTGAGAGCCCCCTCAGTGACGCCCGTGTGATGACCTGTCATCGAAGTAACAGGTAGGGAAGTATTACCAGCAGCATGGGAATAGGACAGGAGGAGACTGGATGAGGGAAGAGAAGATTCTGATTTTTTGAAGGCCACTCAGAGAGAATAAAACCTCATCCATTTCACATACAACCACAGGAATCAAATGTATGCCGTCTTAGGATCTGTTTTAAAAGCACAATTAATTCAGGACAAAGATTATTTTATGCTGCCTCTTTCCTGTAGGACAGTGATTCTCCGTGTGTGTGTGTGTGTGTGTGTGTGTGTGTGTGTGTGTGCATGTGTATGATTTTGTGTCCTATGAGACATTTGGCAATGCCTGGGCATGTCTGATTGTCACTACCAGGGGCATCGCTACTTCATTTCATTTAATGGGCAGAGGCCAGGGGTTCTGATATTAAAAAAAAAAAGACCCACAACACAGAGGACAGCTCCCATAATAACGATCGATCGTCTGGCCCCAAATGTGGTCCCTAAAGTGTTGTATTGCTTCTGAAAAACCCTGCTGTAGAAAATGTCAGTTTGCAGTGAGAATTAAATCACGACATGAATCTCACGCCAGTGGTCAGTGCAGGCAACGCTTTGATTTTCTAAAGGCCCTCATTCTGGGGCTCTCCCGAGAGCCTCAGAAATAGATACAAGAGCTGAGAAAGGGCCCTTGGCTTGAGTCAAGAGTGGACACGAAGACTGGCACAGAAGAGCATGGCTGGACACAAGGGACCTGTGAGACCTGCACATTTCCCTTGGGCTGCCCAAGCATTTTCATCTTTGGATCTTCCGCAGCAGCCAGCTCTAGGAATATGACAATGCACGCCTGAGGCTGGTTCACAGCTTTGAAGGGCCTTTGCCTCACTCAAGACTGAGCACTGCAGCGTGCACCAGCCGCATTTGGCTGCCTGCCAACCCCATTTCCAGGCCTCCTCTACTCCAGGATGCCTATGGGTCTCCCCAGTCCTGCACTGACCCTCTCACCCTCCGGGCTGCTTTATTCCAGGCCTGCCTTAAAATGTAGAAAATTTGGGATTATGCAGTACTTTGGCTATGTGGAGAGACAATTTTTTTTCTGGTACTAGGATTTGAACTCAGGGTCTGGCAAGGTGCTCTACCTCTTGATCCATGCCCACAGTCCTTTTGCTTTACTTATTTTTGAGTCAGGGCCTTACATTTTTGCCCAGTTGTCCTCAGACCACATGCTCCTATTTATGCCTCCCATGTAGCTGGGATTAGGGACACACACCACTATGCCTATCATGTCTGTTGAGATAGGGTCTCACTAACTTTTTTACTTGGGCTGGCCTGGAATCTCGATCCTCCTGAGTAGCTGGAATGACAGGATGGGGCCACCATGCTTAGCCTGGAAAGAGAATTTCTGCACCTAATTTTCTGCATGATTTTGCAGATTAAAATAACTTTTGCAATTCTTCATGGGTAGCAGTGTCAGCTCTTTACCATGTGGTGCAGGGATGTAGAAGTTTCCCAAAGAAAAAAAGGGGCCTGGGCAGGTCTTGTGCTCTGAGCAGTGGGGCCAGCACTGCCCAGCAGGAGGTCCTCACCACTGTTTTGTTACAGGCCCACAGGCATCTCAAACCTCTCTGGGAAACTCACTTTGTAAGACTTCCTCAATTCTGCCTACTTAGCTGGAGGCCTCTTACCCACGTGCTTATTTCTTTGGTTAGTTCCTCCTGCCTCAGCCTCATGTGCTGGGATTACAGGTGTCACCACCACACCTGGTCTACACACCCTTCTTTAGAAAGCCTACTTTTGGAAAATCTAGCTTTAAAGAAAAATTGAGTGACATCAAATTTTTCTGGAGTCTTAAGGCCAGAAAGTAACTTGTGCAAATGCCTGGGACCCTGAATCATTTAGCTCAGCAGTCAGGGGCAACCAGAAAGGTGAAGCAGAAGGAAGAGCAAGACACCTTGGAGAAATGGCCCTGGGGTGTTTATTTTCCATTCCCCTCTCTGGACCTCCTGTTCCCAGTTAGAAAAGCCAATGAACAAATGTGTCTGAGTTCACAGCGGGTAAGGCAGGAATCCCGTGCCAGGACTGGCGGAGAGGTGGAGGATGGCAGGAGCCACATGTATTTAGATGCTGTGACTCAGGACTAACTTGCTCTGTAGGTGCCATCCAGCTCCCTCCATGAAGGGTTCTTCATCCTGAACTGTCATGAGAGTGAAAAGCAAAACATCTAACATGGTAGCTGAGGGTTTAAAAGTAATGCTGCAAGAGCCCTCAACCCAAGCCAGGGTCCTGCAGACCGGCTTTGACATAGGGTAGAGTCACGGGAGTCACCCTGGATGCAAAAACCATCCTCCCGAACCTGCGTCCTCCTGACTCCACTATATCCAGATTCCTCCCAGAGGGAGAGATGAGCCCCTCTGGGAAGACAGCATGGATTTTAACTTCACAGATTAAGCAAGCTGACATCACATGAGATAAATGGCTGACCACTGAGAATGTCAGGACCAAGCCTGTCCGGGCCACACTGAGGTGGACACGCACAGCCAGGTGAGTTGTCTCTCCAGGAAGAAATGGTATTTTGAAGTGTGAGTCTAGGGAAGGCTCAAGAGGTAGTTTTCAGGAGATGCCCAATTCTGAAACGGACAAAGGAAGAGTCTGGTGGTCTCAGGAACCTGTCACCTGCTGCCTGCAGCCTCTGCTGGGACCATTTCCTCGGCAGGCCTGTGCCCTTGTGCCCACAGAGCATGCCTGTGCCTGCTGAAGATGGCACCAGACACCTTTCTTTGTGGAGCCCTAGGATTTATGCTGGCGGGTCACCCAGCTCCACCCTTCCTGTCCTGACTGTGGAATACTTTGGTGAGCGCGACAGGCAGGAGGAGGGAATGGACCTGATGAAAGCCAGCATCAAAAGGTCTCAGACCCAACTCTAAGAGGCTTTTCTGGAAGAGCCCAGGCGATGAAAGACAGGCTTGTTCACAAAGTCAGAGATGTGGACAGTGACTCAGTGAGTGAGACTGCATTGCAAAGTGCAGACAGGCCCACGGATGACTGGGCATGGTGGGCGGGAAGAGGGATCTGATATGCTGCTGACTTTGACTCAACTTTGTCCTGGTTCTAAGGAAGTTCATTTCCCTGCCTCCGCTACACCATCACCCTTCAACCATCTGGGCACCATCTCACGGGCACCATGTGGCTGGGGGAGCCTTCACACTGCGTGCTCACTCGCCATCACCAGATTCTTACTTCAGGCCTCCTCCTGCCCTCCCATCCCCCAGCACAGTTTCGTTTTGGGTCTATAAATAAAAATGCCATAGAAATGCAAAAGAGGGAGAATAATCTAGAAACTATGTCAGGGATCCTCAGCTCCAGGTCTTGAGCAACAGTTCTGAATCTAACCCTGTCACCAACAGGAACACTGAAAACCAGACTTTATGTTCCTCTGCTCTGGACACCTATGAGGCTGGCAACAATGGCTGCCTCTGGGGTGGAGAAGTGGTAGCCAGTGTTTTTGAAAATTCACTTGGTGTTGTGGGTTAGTTATGAAGTGTCCCCTAAAAGGCTCATGGACTGAAGGCTTGGTCCCCAGTGCTACTGAGAGGTGCTGGGAGCACGAGGGCTCTAAGCTCACCAATGACTCGAGGTACTGATGGGGTCAGAGCTGAAGGCGCTATTACAGGTGGCCTAGCTAGAGGAAGCGGTCATGGGACAGGTCTTTGCAGGGTACATCTTCCTTTCTTCCTTTCTGTCTCCACTTCCCAGCTGGCATGAAGTGAGCAGCTTTCCTCTGCCACGCCCTCCCACCATGTTTCTACCTTGCCACAGGCCTAGGAGCAATGGAGCCAGCTGGCCATGAAACCTCTGAAAACCCTGGGCCAAAAGAAATCCTTCTTCCTTGAAGTTGTTCATGTCAGGTGTTTTGTCACACGTAGTTTGTTTTCTTTCATTACAAGGGTCACGTATTAAGCTTTATAAAAACAACTTTTAATGACACATTTTGGAGATCTTTAATGTCACATACATAGATCCTTTTCTCCTTTTAACGGCTGCACAATATTTCCAAGTGTGGCTGTGGCTTATTTAACCCAGAGTTTCTCAACCTCAGCACTACTGATATTTTTGGCTGGGTGATTCTTCGTGGTGGGGGCTGTCCTACAGGTGAGTCTACAGCAGCATCTTGGCCTTAGCCTACTAGGTGCTGGTCTCCGCCACACCCCACCTGTAACAACCAAAAATGAGCCCAGACATTGCCAAAGCTCCTCTTGGGCAAGACTGCCTATGCAGGAGAATCCCACTTAGGGGCTGCAGGTGTGGCTCAAACTGTA